AGTGCGTCAAAAAGAGAGATGTGTATAAGAGAGAGTATATATACAGTATATATATATATATATATATACAGTATATATATATATAGGCCTATAATAATTGGCTGTTAGTGTTTATATTACAGTAGTTTTGGTTTATAGTCAAACTAATACGTTTACGAACTACTTAGGCCTATATTGTTTTTGATGAAACTTACTTTGTCACGGGGTCTATCACCTGAAACGTATCCACTATACATAAGTGGGAAAGCATGTTGGTCATACTGGCCAAAGTTCACGGCAGCGTGCTGTACACTCAGGTTGAAGATTATCGTTGCTACCACTTCAATGACCTGTTGTTTATCTGTAAACTTCCCATCACCTGGAAGTCCCTGTTATAAAAAGACAATACATCACAAAGCCATGAATAACATCCGAAATACAATCGAGTAAAGTGGCGACCCAGGTAGAGGATTTTGCGGATGTGAGAATCCAGACCTCAGATCACACCCGAATTTCGAGAGAGCAGCTTAGCTCAGTAAGAGAGCTGCTTAGCTCAGTCGGCTAATCTGGTGGTAGCCACTGTGCGTGCGCTGAACCATAGAGATCTCTAGGTCCCCAGTTCAATTCCAATCGCTGCCTCTCCTAGTATTTCAGCTAAAGGGCTAAATACAAGTTATAATAGCGCACCGTCTTTTGGAGGATGAGACGTTTAAGCCGTTGGTCCCGTGTCCATTTATGGCAAATGTGCACGTTAAAGAACGCAGTACACTCTTCGGTAAAGAGTAGGGGATTGTCTCCCGGTGTACAGCCCAATCACGACCAGAAGGACCCACTGGAAATAAGTATTCTTCTAGACTTTCGTGGACTATCCTTGGTGTTTACACCGAATAAAACCAATTTGTTGGGCCTCTAGATGAAGAAAATGGTACTTGCAGATATGAAATCTTCTTTTGTTTTCTATTTGTGTAAAGTAGCCCCACTACCACCCCCGCCCCCTTTGAATCCGCGTATGATAACCCTTGAAATAACTTTTCGTAAAGAAGTTCGTTAATAATCATTATTGGTTGTATTTTACGGCAGTTGTTGTACCATATTGCTACACTATGATTATTGTCATATTGGTTACTGTATTTTCAAAGTTTTTCTAACGACTATTAAATAGGTTTATACTGTTAATAATAAATAAGCCTATGTAGTGTATGTTTTATTATTTTAATTAGGCCTAGATTTTTCCTGGAAAGAAATGCTAGTACTGAAGGGTTTGGCTGAATATAACAATTTCAAATGAATGTGTATTTTTAACTTAAAAACTGAACAATATGAAATATCGGTTCATTGTTTGCATACCGTTTGGAGTAGAGCAATGAACCGTTCCGCTTTATACAAGGGCACAGCTTAAAATGTTGATAATAATAACAATAATTATAATAACAACTGTTACTAACAAAGATGTATGCAATACGGTACTCTATAGGCCTATATGTATTTTTAGAAGTTGATAATTATTGCCTGTATTACTTTTATGAGTTTAAGGGGGTGTTTTTGATGTTTACATTATATTAATGATTATGACAATTTTAATAATAATAATAATAATAATAATAATAATAATAACAATAATAACAATAATAACAATAATAATAATAACAATAATGATAACAACAACAACAATAATAATAATAATAATAATAATAATAATAATAATAATAATAATAATAATAATAATAATAATAATAATAATAATTGTAATTTAGGCAATAATTTTTATGTTTTTATATATATTTTAACAAACGTTCCTACCAAGGAAAAATATTTTTATATTGTATTTTTGAATGGAATGAATAAAGTTTGATTTGATTTTTTGATTGGTTATTCAATAATAACATACCCTGAAGTCACAGCCGTCTGGGGAATGCAGAGCAGTTGCAAAATTCTGTAGCTCCCAATCATCTTCGATTTTCTTTGGCTCATCTAATGCGAAAATTTAAAAAATATATTCAATAGGCAAATTGGGATGTCTGTCTCATAATATTAATGTATCAAAATTGATAGCGACTCATTTAGATTTAAATAGTAAACTAATAATATAGGCATACTGTATTAAAGGGAGTCGAAGCGATTAGACTTAAATACAGTACTGCAAGTTTGTAAACATTACCATAATGAGCATTGACGATGCCTGAAACGTATTTTACAATGGCGTCCCAGTACAAAAGAGCATCATTTCTATAGTAATATTTAGGCAATATTTTTGGATCTTCGACTCCCCTGTGTTTTATCTGATTAGGATACATTGCATCACGGTCGAAGCTCCACTCATTTTTGAAAGCCTTCGCCATCAGCGTCATACTGCCTTTTAGTTTCATCTTGAAGAGACGATCGAATGCCCCACCTTCCATCAGAAGTCTCTCAAATCCAAAGCTATCAATGATAAAAAAAAAAACCCCGTAGAATTACAATCATAGAAAAACTGTTTGCATATAGACCTACCTCATGTTACCATGTCAGTTACACTGCATCATCAACCCACCTCTACCAGGATTAACCACCACCACAAACAACCATACCATCGAAAAACGACCAATAACACTAACAACCTCACCATCACTGAAGAGGTGTACATTTGTCAACATATAAATCTCCGTCTCAAATACAGTACTTAAATACGCCTAAGGGATTTATTCGAACAAAGTAATGTTATCACAAAGACTTACTCGTTTATTGCCATAACATTCTTATAATGAGGCAACATAAGTCGGTAGAGTGGATGAGAGGGAGAGAGGTTCCGATGGAAAGCCACGCCCGACGACGCAGTTACTAAGTGAGTGTAACACAAATGTGAACATGCTTCATGAAAAGAGGCATCGGCCATGTTAAACCACATCTTGGCAAGTATCCATGTGTACTTATTATCGGTTGGGAGGAAAACCTAAAATGTAAACGCAGACATCGTCATTATAATGATAGTCAACTATTAGCTTTAGATTTTTAAAAAATTGTGTTTAAAGGGCGATGACTTGGTGCACCTACGTTGCCAAATCCATAGACATTTATTTTGAACAAATATATTCAGTTTACATTCATATGTACATGATAATACTATAATACTTTTCAATTATTGTTGTTTTATGTAAATACATTTTAAATATATATATATATATGATGATTTATTCTTATATGTTGTACCGGTATGTGTTTATAGGAACATTATTTTCCTGAGTTGAGACTCGCGGTTAATTGATTAGTAAATATCACGGAGTCCCAGACTTCTTAAGTATTTTTGTCATAGTAAAATGCATACCGTAGTTATTCGAATAAATGCCCCGCTTTGAAAAAACGCCTACACTACCCAAGTTTGAATTAAACGCCCCCAAATGAATGTAAACAAATCTAATGAAAGCAACATCGTTCTTAACACATTCTATTCATGTTCTACTCCAGTAGAATTACATTTTTCTAAGCTGGTTGGGATCAATAAGTCATTACGATCACGCAATAACACATTTTGAAGGTAATTATGTTCCACATTTACAGTGAAATTAATGACCCTCAAAAACCCTTCTCAACAATTAGGCCTACAGTCACCACGACAGTTAGAGGGAGAAGGCGAGTCTAGTAGCCGAGCGGTAAGGCAGTGGCGCCGCAAACTATAGCCTACACATTGGCGCTGGTTTGAGCCGTTCCTGCCCCCAGGGTTCGGATAATTAAAGGAATTCAAACGGAGGTCCAACGCAAACATCTTGATCGAGTGCACCCATCGTATCTTTCGGATGAGTAGGGGGGTCGATGCTATGGTTATTTTCAGCCCCTGTCGGTTTGGAATATGATGTGAACATAATCTAAGCACCACCGGGGGGGGGGGGGGCTGGTAGTCACGGACCATGCTTATCATAAGCAATTCAGCAAAATGACGCTGAGAGTTATGGGCTATTCTCCTACACTTCACCTTCACACCTACAAAACAATCAGTAAGCATGAATTATTGATGGTGGAATAGATGCTATGTTAAATTCAGCATAATGAAAGAGTTTAGGGTAATATTTATATGATTATTATTACTAGCTGACCGTATGATGAACTTTGTTTTGTCAATATTAATAACAATATTGTTTGTTGATTTTTTGTTCAAAACATTCCGATGCAACTATAGTTTAAATGAAGTTCTGGTAAGTATACACTTAGTACCCGGTGGGGGTCCAGGGGGCGAAGCCTTCTGGAAGCTACGGATATTTTACGAAGTTTGGTGAATTTTATAAGTTATTTTATAGGCATCAAGCTACTGTAATATGATTTCATATTTGTTGTAATTTAGTGGCCGATCCAGAAATTCGAAATCGAAGGGCCCAGGGAGGGTACTTTCACAGATAGAAGACATATACTCAGCCCCACCCATGGTGGGGCTGAGGTAAGAAAATTTGTGATTATGGTACTTCTAGATGGCCGGAAATTGCACTTCCAGACATAAAATTTGAATATAACTATCTTTATATCTTCATTTTTTTATTGAACAATTTAGGCGGGTAGGGGCCATTAAAAAAATGAACAATTTGGCCTCAACCCCACACCCCCTTCCCCCCTTGAACGCGCCACAGATTTCCGAACAAAGTCAAAGTCGAGATTGCCTCCACGACCTCAATGGATTATTTATCATGAGGGTTATCCCAGGGAACAGTGAATTTCACTGTTCCCTGGTTATCGGCCTTGATATGGGTCCCCCGACGAAAACTTCACTTTACCCCCGATGGATAAAATTACCCTTCTATGTAGCTCGGAAATGATACGCCAACTGTGGCGGGTCCAGGGAGTCGAAACAGAGAGGTTCCAGGGAGGGTCTTCCGCAAATAGAATGTCCACCCTCCTCAGCCCCACAACTTTTGGGGCTGAGTTAAGAAAAACATTATAATTATGGCACCCCTAGATGGCCGGAAATGGCACTCTCGGATTAAAAATTGAATAAAATTTTGTCTGTTTTCTCCATTTTTTTTTTAATTTTGAAAAAATAGGAGGATGGGGTCCCGTGCTGACTGGGTTCCCCATTGAATCTGCCGCTGTTCAATATAACACTTGATATAGCCTATCATTTTGTTTCAAAAATGATTAATTCCTAATGTCAAGCGAAAGATTTTTTATTCGAAAGATTTTTTTTTACTCAATACAGTTTTTACAACCTATAACACATTAAGTGTACTGTAAATATTGTAGTTAACCTTCAGAGAACTTTATTTTAGAAAATGGCCTAATTAAGTATCTTATTGTTTTCGTTAAATTAGATGAAGTTTAAATATGGTTATATTACGCTAGATTTAAGGTTTAATGTAAGCCAATCAGCTACACTTACTATACATCTTCGTGGTTAGCATAAAGAGAACTAGAACGTCGCTCCATTAAGAGTGTCTACCTCCCCCCATATGCCTAAAATCAGAATTCACGAATGCAGGCGATTTTTTCTTCATGCTCGATGGTGGGTTTCAAGGAAACTTTACAGACGCACGTATACAGACGTCAATCAACATTTGGTTGCTGAACTCAAAAAGGGAACTTGTAATGTTCGTTAGAAAATGAAAAAAAACCCCTATATTTTATAATAATAATAATAATAATAATAATAATAATAATAGGTCAATTTATAATAATAATAATAATATGCCTAATAATAATAATATGCCTAATAATGATAATAGGCCTAATAATAATAATAATGACATTGCAGCGTTCGTAAAGTTTGTCACTGGTGTTGGGAACAGTCACAAAAGTGGGGGGGGCCAGGCCCCCACAGTAGAAAAAGTGGGGGGGGGGGGCCAATGGCCCCTGGCACCCCCCCCCCCCCGCTTCCGCCGCCATTGGGTTCAATTCTTGTCACAGCAAGACTTTTTTCACGACTAAAATACCTGCTACTCCCTAGGCCACAATTACAGACATCGTAAAAATAATATTGGGATGATTCGATAAAATGTTACGATAGATTACTTTGATCAGGGAACAGTTAAATTATGTCCTTTGGGTCAGTGACTACTTACTGGGTTATCGTCTGCTGGCTCTTGTTCAAGTTGAATGGCAACAGGCATAAGATCATCGTCATCATCCACGAAAAACAAAGCGATCGGGCAGGTTATCTGGGGGTGAATATAATATATAGGGCTATAGAAAATACATTGTAATGAGTATAAATACAAAACAGAAACGGATGGAAAGTATTAATATATAGTAGACAGTGTATGGATCCTACCACAGGGAGAGTGGTGCGGAGAGTGCCAACATAATACAATGGATTAGACATTTTTATTTTCAGCAATATGAAAGGTAAATAAATAATAACAATAACAATAAAAACAACAATAATAATAATAATAATAATAATAATAATAATCATAATCATAATGTTATAATAATAATAATGATCATAATGTTATAATAATAATAATAATAATAATAATAATAATAATAATAATAATAATAATAAAACATAATTTTTTTTTTAAATATTTGCTTCTATTTTTATTGGTCGAGGACCCCTATGGAAACAAGCTCATAGAGCTTATAGGGTTATCCTCTTGCTCTCATTTTTGTGTATTTATGTACTTGATTTTTTTTGTTTTGATGTTATTATAATAAGGGCAATAAATAATAAACAAACAAAACAAACAAACAAAATAATAATAATAATAATAATAATAATAATGATAAGAATAAGAATAATAATGGTTCCTTATAGGCGGCCCGCAGAGCAAATTATGGCCCGCGAAGCAAACTATTCTGGCCCTGAAGAAAAAATAAAATTATAAAAAAAAATATTTAAATAAAAGTAACAATCATTCGATCGATACATGTTTAATTAAGTGAAGCCCAACACGTAACACTGGGGCAATGTAATGTAGGGGTGACACCCACCCAGATCAAGAATTAAATCCACAGTCAATTGACAAACGCCAAAAGATTGGTAATAATAATAATAATAATTATGTCGCTCTTATATATAGCGCTTCATGTACAGATTAAAAATAAAAACTTTATTATTATAATGAGCAGACCCGAGATTTTTACCCTTTAAAGCAGTGGTATTTGGTGGGTATACGATGGGTGAAATTACACAGAAAATATTAAGGTAATCGAACTTTGAATGACTGATACAAAAAATTACTGTGTTTTTGCTTTTGTTACGAATATGCTCTATGTTACTTCATTTTTGGCTTGGGAATAATACTATAGGATTAGTCCTACCAAGGAGTTGTTTAAGTTCCTGGTCCTACCCAATGCCTGCACCAAAAGAAAGTTACAGCTGTCAAAGTATGGGCGCCCGAGCAGGTAATTATATTTGACCAACTTCCTGATTTATAGGCTTAAACGTGGAGGTCTCTCATAAGACGCAAACGTAAGCATCAAGATCAATGAGATAGAAGAAAAATATCTATTTTCACTTTGTGGGAAAAATCCCAATTCAGGAAACGATACACATTTTTTAAAGTAAGAACCAGTACAGGACCCCTATGGAAACAAGCTCATAGAGCTTATAGGGTTATCCTCTTGCTCTCATTTTTGTGTATTTATGTACTTGATTTTTTTTTGTTTTGATGTTATTATAATGAGGGCAATAAATAATAAACAAACAAAACAAACAAACAAAATAATAATAATAATAATAATAATAATAATGATAAGAATAAGAATAATAATGGTTCCTTATAGGCGGCCCGCAGAGCAAATTATGGCCCGCGAAGCAAACTATTCTGGCCCTAAAGAAAAAATAAAATTATAAAAAAAAATATTTAAAGAAAAAGTAACAATCATTCGATCGATACATGTTTAATTAAGTGAAGCCCAACACGTAACACTGGGGCAATGTAATGTAGGGGTGACACCCACCCAGATCAAGAATTAAATCCACAGTCAATTGACAAACGCCAAAAGATTGGTAATAATAATAATAATAATTATGTCGCTCTTATATATAGCGCTTCATGTACAGATTAAAAATAAAAACTTTATTATTATAATGAGCAGACCCGAGATTTTTACCCTTTAAAGCAGTGGTATTTGGTGGGTATACGATGGGTGAAATTACACAGAAAATATTAAGGTAATCGAACTTTGAATGACTGATACAAAAAATTACTGTGTTTTTGCTTTTGTTACGAATATGCTCTATGTTACTTCATTTTTGGCTTGGGAATAATACTATAGGATTAGTCCTACCAAGGAGTTGTTTAAGTTCCTGGTCCTACCCAATGCCTGCACCAAAAGAAAGTTACAGCTGTCAAAGTATGGGCGCCCGAGCAGGTAATTATATTTGACCAACTTCCTGATTTATAGGCTTAAACGTGGAGGTCTCTCATAAGACGCAAACGTAAGCATCAAGATCAATGAGATAGAAGAAAAATATCTATTTTCACTTTGTGGGAAAAATCCCAATTCAGGAAACGATACACATTTTTTAAAGTAAGAACCAGTACAATTTTTCCGGGATTCAATGTTGTTAGGTTTTGGCCGATTTCAGGCTCATAATGTTCTTATTTTGTTCGTATTTTCACACAGTTTTGAAACATAGAAATTATTGTTGTACAGCAGTATTTTACTATACTTTATTATAGAAGGTATTACATAGTCACACAACTATTACACATTAAGGTACAGAAAATATTTGTTGGTTTTTTTTAAATAAAAAATTTTCATTCGAAATTTTACCTCAGCCTCAATTTGTTCTTATTTTGTTTTTAATTTTTAAGCAATTTCAGCCTCAGTGTTCTTATTTTGTACTTCGCTTCATTTAAAGATATGAAAAGTTCTATTACCAGTCACTGACAAGAAAAAAATGTCCGCCGAAACTGCAAAATATCTTGTCAAGTTTGGTCGCGAACTATAGATTGAATACCGAGGCTTAACAACACCATTATAAATGGAAATTTAAATAAAATATTCACGAATTATGTGTTTCACAAATACATTTAATACGGTCTCAAAATCCTACTTAGTCGAAGTTTCTCGGCCTCTGGTCCCAGTCGTGGGCCCCTAAAACCAATCAGCCTTAAGGCTCACTTAGTTGGGGGGGGGGGAGTGTTGACTGTGCTTGCGAGCCAACACTCTACCCCCCAACTATCTTTGGCACGTGCTATCAACAGTAAAAATAATTTGGTCCTTCAGATAAATTAAGAACCAGGGATATAGACCAACATAAAAATACACAATATAAATATCATTAAAATAATAGCAAGAAATTGAAGGTTTTTTTTAATTATTATTAAATATGTAAATACACAATATAAATACCAATAAAATAATAGCAATAATGTAAATGAATTTCATTTTTTTCATACAGTATTTATAAATACAAAACATACCGTAAACATACAAGAAGCAATTTTTATAATTTACTATATAATTTATTCCACAAACATTTGCCACAATCGATGGTGCTTCATCAGGTGTACAACAAGTACCAATCGATTAGTGCGAAATGAAATTAAAAAATATATTACACTGATGAAGTCTTATCGATTTTAAAGTATACTGACGCATGTTTACTTGTATACTGAACTATACGCCTGATCACGCAAGGCTGGAATGGACTTAATGATGAAGAATATACATTAAATACGTATAGGCCCATTATTATAGTAACACAATTTTTGTCAAATATGTTAATTCAGAATATTTATTTTAGCAATAAGTGGATATGTGCGCTATATAAATCTTATTACTTATTACACTTATTTAATTATTTAATAACAAATATTTATATATTTTCACTGGAGCAATGTTAATTTCTTATGGTTTTGCGACACCACAATAATTTTATCACCAGCATCATGATGGAAAACATATGGTGACCTAAGACGAAGAAACGAAGAATATGGCTTATGTTACTGCAAACTACAACGTAAAAATACCTTGTCTCATCCCATAAAAATGAAATACTGAAAATGGAAATACGAGAAAGGTTATGTCTGTAATAATAATAAAATACAGTAACCTGATCCAAGCCGTGTCGGTAGTACTGTTTCACAGCAGCAAATTTTAAATTGTGCATCAAACTCCTAGTAGAGTCATCTTCATGAAATCCATGACTAATTTTAGGATACCTTTTTTCCTTGATGGATTTGGCAAGATGGTCCAACTTAGATAAAATATAGCTCCTATATACCTCCCAGATATGGGTCGAAAGTCCCGTTTGAGACCGTTTTCCAAAAAAGCCGCCTGTTGATTTGGACGCTTGTATCTCGATAACCACTGGTCAGAGAAACCTGATTTTGGTCTCAAATTGTTCACAATATGCATGTTCCTATTTGTTGTGATACAACTTTTTATTTAAAAATGGCGGGAAATGCGATTTTTGAAAGTTTGACCTTTGACCTTGTATTGTTGTATTTCGGTAACTACTGGTCACAGAGACTCACAATTGATTGCAAATTGTTCAGGAGATTCATGTTTATATTCGTATTAATTAAAAAAAAAATATTCAAATAGTGACCGGAAATGGTACATTCCGACCTTTGACCTATTGTAGGGTCATTCCATGTCAAATCAACCAGATTAAAAAAACAAAATTCCTGTATGACCGTCTCAGATTTTTATGAAGCTCCATAAAAATGATCCACTGTATAAAAAACCAACAAAAAAAAAATAGCCTTATAGGATATGTAGTTTCCGAGATATTGACTCCTCAAAAATGGGGCGTGGTTCTACAAGATGTGCAAACGCAATTTACTTCAACTTTGGAAGCTTATAACTCGGCCATTTTGAGAAACGCCCCCAAACGGAACTTCCCCCCCCCCCATATGTGGGAGGTATATAGAGGCTATATGTTATCTAAATTGGTCCATCTTGCCAAATCCATCGAGAGAAAAGGTATCCTAAAATTAGTCACGGATCTCATGAAAATGACTACTATCCGCTTTACGAAATTAAAATTAGATTTGAGCATAAAGATAGACCATTAAAAAAGGAAACTAAAACTTTCGAAGTATATTAAAACAATTATTAAATATATATAGATTATGTGTAACATTTTGCCAATATTGAAAAGAAGCTAATCTGAATACCGTAATGTAACCGACAGGTAGCATATGGGCATAGGCTAAGGGCTTTGCTGAAATACACAAAAAGAACAGATATAGATGGGTTATGATGGATTAGAAAAATAGAAACCCCCTTTTTTATTTTTATTGAATTTGACTTTAGCAACAAAACAGAAAAAGCAGCGAAAAGGAAGGGATGAAGGTGTCAAGCACCTCTCTATCTACACCCACACCTCCTTTGAACAAATTAACTTCACATCAAACGAAATAGAAATGTGGAAAATTGCTTGTATGCCTAATTAATTAAATTAAACTAATACATACAATTCCATAAGGAAGGTGGTGGTATTGAAAAAATAAACTCAGCTAACAATTTTACGTTATAATAACGTTATAGTTTGGTGTACAAAACGGGATTTTTGTATAACCATAAAAACATAATTGCCACATTACTGCAACGCTGTATTAATATAATTGTCTGACATATCTTACCACGATATTCGCAAACTCTATAAGGTTTATTGTTTGTTTGGAATTTAGTGTTGACAATAATATCTTCCGATCTAAAACGAATGAATATTAAAAGGTTATGGGTTAAAGTGATTTTGATTAAGAATCATCCGGTTCACATGATATTTGCACATTTCCTCGTCGAAAGCACAGATGTAGAATCAAGTGCTGTATGTAGGCATATGCAGCGTTATGTTGAAGAATCTACAATTGGAGACGAGCCACAAACGTTTGGACGTGATTGCTCGCATAATATAACATTATGCCACAGACCCTATATTGTATATAGGGTCTGTGATTATGTCAAGCGTACAGAAATCCTTTAAGGAGGTTCGGGAGGATCACTTACACTACACAATATTATAATATTGCCGCTAACAAAGGGGAAATACCAATTGTACATGGCATCCGGAATTTCCGTTAATTGTTTTATCAGTAGAGAGATAAACTGGTCCCAACAGTATAGGTAATGGGAATAATGGGGCAGTATGTGGTTATTTTTAACAAATTATGTAAAAAGTAAAATCGAATTAGGGAACATTATTTAAAAAGCTGAAAAGATGAAAGTGGTTTGGGGCAGTGGAAATGGTTTGGTTTCCCAAACTCGAGGTCGGGGTTTCAATCCTTCGCTGCGCATTACGCTTGTGTCCTTGAGCAAGGCACTACATTGTACTAAGTACTACATTGTATCAGTCTGCCTAGCTTTATCAATGGGTACCAGCAAATTACTGGGGGTAACCTGCGGTGGACTAGCGTCACACCAAGGGGCATCACACTCTCATCCGTTTTTACGCTACGGAAACTGGGGATAAGCTTCAGCCACTACGGGCCCTAGTAGCTCGGCAAAGAATTTACTACTTTAATTTTAATATTAAATGCTACTTCCAAAACACAAGGCTGGCTTCAATATAATGACGTACAAACGTGAAGTTTGTGTTTATAACTATCAGTTGCCTGTGTTTGTGTTATAGTATCTAGTAGCACATGATTAAAAAAAAAAATCAAACTTATGGGCTAAAGGTGACTCTGGTAAAAGGTTAATAAAGCGATAATATGTCTGTTGGGTTGATCATACAAATATTTATCTTTCTTTTGTGTATTGTATTCTTATAATTATTCTAGGAACTTGTTCAGTATAAAACTAGCTACTGTACCGAGTTTTTTTTCTCATTATCACACAGCCTCACTTATACTAAGACTAATAATGCAGCTTAGTGAGTGGAGCTGTATTTTAGTAGTAAACAACAGGTAAGCATGAACATAAAGCTCAACAAAACGTTACCATCGTCTCTATTATTGTTAAAACACAATTTGTAAGATTTGTAAGATCACCAAGGTCCTTGCTAAGCCGGGTCTTGGGGTATTTTTGAACTTAAGCTTACCTCAGGGATTCCTTCGAGGTCTTTGTAATCAATGTAGAAAAGCCGATTCTGATCAATTGCTTCCGAACTAGTTAATCCACACAACGACGGTTCTAGCATTTCCTCGGTGACGGCCAGCCTAGAAAAGTAACGTTATATGTGGTAATAGTATTACAATACACTCATAACACTATAGCATCAGGTTGCATGTTTACCAAACTTCAATATTAGTAAACGTAACGTGTGTAGCCAGTGGCGGATCTACTTGTTTTTGCCAGGATGGCGCGAGTGGCAATCGAGAACCTATGGTCCAAAGAATCCGTAACCCATAGCCGAGATAGTAAAGTTTTTGGTGCTCCTTTACCTATTTTATGGGTCCAGAGGGCTACTCGCTCAAAGCTTCTGAATCCTAGCACTTTCAATCTCTTATTTAAATGATTTTACACTTAGTTAATGATTGTTTTGCTGCTGCCGTGGTGGAAATGTTGTGGGGTAGGTTGGTAGTTGGGTGGGGGCGGGGGGGGGAAGCAAATCTTTTGCAACCCATGGATCCTCCACTTGCAGCGAAAAAATGGGAATAATTAATAGACGGATTTTTATAGCGCCAATATACAAAGTACAATAGGTTTTTTTTTTCGTTTTACTATACAGTAGGCCTATTTCATCTTCATTAAATTTAATGAACGAATGAATTAATGGATAGTTATTACAAATATACAATACTGCTGTTACTTGGTTGTAATAATAAATGAAATAGGGAAAAACTATTAGGCCTAATATAATGTAATATACAAATAGTGACTGCTCATATCCAAGAGCAAGTGGCTCGCTCAAAACATGCCATAAATACACTATGATTTATATTTATCTTTGACATTTATATTCTAATCAATTCATGGAAATTCTGCAATACATAATATATGGCTTATTAAATTGTACAATGTAGGCTACACACTATCAAGGTCTTTTATGTAGTTACATTACACACAATATAATGGAGGCTCCAGAAATATGCCAACCGAAATTCTAACATGTCCGACAAAGGGATACGTTAGGGCCTGTCATTCCCCCAGAGTAAAAACCCATGGCGGGGTTTTAATGGAGAGATTTTAATTATCAATATTGTAAAATTGTGACTTTAAACCACAAAATATTAGCAACTTCACATTAACATTAGTTGAATCGGCAAATTAATGTTTTTTTATCTGACGTCAGAGAGTACATGGCCAGGAGTGGGTTATTCCAAAAAACTGTCAATCATGAAAAGATATTCTGTTCATTCGAACCTAGTCCTTTATTAATTGGAAGGCATGCACCGTTACCACCAGACCAAATACAAAGGTGCCTTACTTCTTAGGTATTTCTTTACACAGTGTAATACGGTAAGGATTTGTACCATTCATCAGGTTGTTACCAAAATGTTTATCAGACTCCCAGTTGTCAACACCCTTTATGAAACAAAAGAAGAAAAAGCCTCAAAATAATACACAATATAATCATAAAAACAACAGTAACGTCTTTTGATGTCATCAACAATATAATTCATTCAACATAGTTATACAAGTTATAGTAAACACTGGAGATGTTATACTTAACACTTTTTATTTTGTATTTGTCCTATAAAGTACGTTTGCCATCAGATGCAAATTTTCTCTCAATATGTTCACACATCACCCTTTTCTTACAGGGCTGAGAATAATGCCCATCTTGTGTCGTCACACATGGTCCACGGTCACACAATCTTATGCTCAAACACTATAGAATTACTTTAACACAATAAATCTAAACTATATATTAATGGGACCAGCGGAATGATGATATGATGATGATGATGGTAGTAACCAGTTTAACAGTCGAATAAAAACCATTCTTATCACTTTTATACATACTTCTAATAATATAATAATAACAATAATATAAGGTGTATTAATATTCATATAAATTTATTTAGACCAATTATTATAAAATCATTACTAGGCCTATATATTATTATAATTATTAATAAACCTATTATTATTACTAGGCCAACATGTGATCTAGAACTTTAATTATTATTTAAAGTTATAATAAATGAAAAAATGTATAGGCCTATATGATTCTTTGTTAAAAGTCAACAAGGAAATACTGACATCACACAAAATTCATAGCTACGCTGCACAGCATTTCTTGTGGGAATATTGGCTAAGGTAGCCCACATAATTAAGCGAGTATGTAACTCTCGTTCTTCCTTACCCGTGGTACGTCGAAACCGAACTTGTAAAGGTCTTGAAGTTGGCTGATGTCAAGGGACTCTTTCGTTGTGTGTTTGATGAGGAGAACTTGTAATTTGAGGTTTTTTAACGTACTTTCTTTCCAATTCTAATAAGATTAAAACAACAACTAAAGCCTTTTGTCTCAGTGTTAAAATCAATACTATCCAGATTCGTATCCAGGATTGTCATGGGGGGGGGGGGGTTGTGGTGAGGGGTGTGTAAAAATGGACCAATACTTGAGTATAAGGAGATAGCCAGCTTAGTTGCCACTTCAATTGTTAAAAATGTGAACCTTTCCCGACTTCTACCCCCTGGTTGCTTCCGGGCTTGGGCCTGTATTCACACGCAGATTACCAGGGAAACTAAATGTAAATGCAAAGAACGAGCCAAATGGATTATGATTATGCCCAAGCTTGTAAGCTCAACACCCTCCCCCACCCCCACACAGACACCCCATATCTAATCTATGCTTCAGTCAGATTAAAAAATTAAGTACCGAAATGAATGAAACATAAAGACAAAAGATTAACCAATTTTACTCATCTGAGTAGTAAACTAACTTACATCGTATTCAGGGTGGAATTTTTCGTCTGGGGGTAACATCTTCACCTAAAATATAAAATTATATAAGTGAAAAATATTTGGAATGAAATGAAAAATAAAAAACCTAATAAAAAAAGTAATGAAACCACGATAAAATGATAATAGAATATTACAGTACAGTAATAATATAATTATTATATACATAAACCTAAACAATTGCTTATAGCGCCCTTTAGAAATCTCAAAGCGTTTTGAAATCTGGACACTGCGAGAAAAAAGATTATCTATATTAATGGCCGGCTCTGTGCAAAGAATAGGAACTGTATTATGTCTATGCATCTGTGAGGAAAATACTTTAACTCTGTATGTGATAAAAAGTCATTTTATGCATATACACGGTAAGCAACTGCAATTCTAAATTAGGTTTTTTAAGTTTAGCCCAAAACAGTCATTTGATTTTGTTGCTATATTATCCACAGTGTAGTATTTTTTGATTTTTCTCAATTAGTGCACCATTTATATTCCTATATATATATATATATATATATAAGGATTTTAATGGCAAGACATTTAATTAAAACATATGATATGACCACAACATAGAAAATAGCATAAAAGAATGTTTTAATAACGTAATAAAGGTTTACATAAATGTCTCCCACCTGGCGAGGAATGGTAATGGCGTCGTCAGTGGAAAACTGATACAGCTGCCGTTTAGCAGCAAGCTCTTTTTCTCGTTGTTCCTTTTCCGTAGAGAACTGCGGAAGACAACTATCGTTTCGCTGAAATCTAAACATCATAATCAACATTATATGATCCAGCGGATACTAGGTTTGATGATAATACAATTTTTAATGAACGATGGTTAGAAGAAAACAGTATAAAATAGGCCTAGGCCAATTAGACTTATGTGAGTACATTTAGTTAGCTCTCGCCAGTTATATTTTATAGTATATAAAAGGTACATGTCATATGTCATAAATTATAATTGATGATAAATATCAATAACAAACGTTTGTGGTTACATGCGATGATTATATACATCAACCATGGACATATTAATAATAATAGTTAATAGGTCCATGCATCAACAACTAAAGTTTGCGGTTACGGCACGGTTTAGGATTTTACACGTTTTTGTGTATATGCCCCCTCTGGGCCTAGACAATGTGTTATCGTCTAGCAGTTAACCCTCTATCAAGATCGAGTAAATCCGGTATGGAGGAATGATGGAAGGAGTCATGAGCTAAAGATAAAATTGATTATAAGACCTGTCCTATAAAGTTCACTACAGTAAACAACAACACACATTTCTTGATAACAGAATCCCCATGTAGATACTTTATTAGTAATCATAATACCTGTCAGTAAGGCATAGGGCATAGGCACACGCTCCTACTGGGAGGCTATTTTTTATTCAAATAGAAAGGTTAAAAATACTTTAGAAGGAAATAAAAGAAAACTATAAAAGAACCTACACTATTGTCCGATATCAACTAATTTGTTAACTATTTTGTTATCACTTTCAAGAAAGTAAAACAGACCTTTTTTATGACCTCTTTCTTTTCCATCTGTTCATTTTCATTATAAAATGATGACTTGTCATTGTGAGATCAGTAGTATTTTTTTTATTTACATAAAAGAGTACATACTCCACTGTCTTTGGCCACGTTATATTGTATTTGCATTTGATAACCCTTAATTTTTACCTACTTTTTGATTTCAAGAGAAATTTTTGTTTCTCTAGTCTTTTTTTTTCATCAACTTCATTGAAGAGAATTTGCCAATCACAAAATCCAGTTTTATCATGAAGGAAATATATTTCCTCCATTAACAAATGCATTCTCCATTAAAAAAAAAATATTGCACAGGAAATCGTTAGTGTGGTTATTTCAATTGTAGTGCTACCAATTCTCAACTTAACATTTCCAATAATAGCAAAATAAACAGGATTATAATTTGGAAACAAAAAGCAACCGTTCTGATCCGCCAAGGTCAATTAAGATAAAAGTAATTATTATCTGGTCTTGTGTACCTCAAAACACTATCTAAAGTTGGTATATTGACCTAAAATTACTGTTGAACTCGTTGATTTTGGTGTAGCTATTATTATCACTCGCAAAAAAGGCCGCCTTGGGCGATGCTGAGAGGTACGGTACTGGGAGTATGCAAAAAGAGGGGGACTCTTGTATAAACATACGTTTAAATGAATTGGGGGACCGTCTTCTGTCTTGTCACCCTCCCTTTCGAGAGACTTCAAGCCAACAATAGTATTAGCCTGACAATTATTCGCATGGATGACCCCCATCCCTACATCTGTACATTTTTTGCCAGCTAAAATTTAAAAGCACTCTAACATGGGTGGCGGAGGGGGAACGACTATCACCCCCTATGAATTAGCCCAGGTGTATCATTTGAATAATCATTCTGTGAAAGTCCAGTCGACCAAATGCTGTAAGGATTGCCACATGTAACAGAATATTCTAAAGCATAATATTGAATACTCCTATGTCTTTAACTATAATTTTAAAAAGACCTTCGCAAATGAAAGTCAAATTAGTTTTTAAATAAAAAAGAACATGAGCCAATAATAAATAATAATAATGATAAAGCATGTAGGACAGGCATACTGGTAAAGAATATGGTAAAAATGAATTATACAATACATGCTAAAATATGATGGATGTAGACATTCCTTATTCGTCACATATTGACTTATATTAGTGATTAACAAGGTCAGTTTATAATATTTTTATTCCAATATTTAGAGAACATACGCGCTTGTATCAGCCGCAATCACTGAAGTGGTACGTTCCGCTTACCTGTACTCTGCTGTTCCTTTCACTCTACTGTAGTAACGTAATTTGAATAATGAATTCTCACATGTGTTGCTTTTGCAGCGTGACAAGTCCTCGTCCAATATTTTGAGACTAAATTATTTTTTACGATATTTTAGTGGGACATAAATAGGAACTCAATATATGCCAATAATGACATTTAAAAGAATGGTGCTACGATATATTTGTTCCAGGAGAACTGTGCACGCGTCTGGGCAGTAAATCCTCACGCCTTTTCCACGAATCGGTAGACATCTTGAACCAACAGAAATAAGATAAGCCTTGAGGCTAAATTCTTCTTCATGTTATCTAAAAATTCATAAATCCATAATGGAAGGTCGTATCACATTAATTTTTTTTTTTCTGGAAAATGTTCTCAAAATACTATTCTACACCACTAGGCCTATATGATTGCAAAAAAATTGAAAAAAGTTTTTGACTTCTGAAATAGAGATGGAAAAAGAAGAGCCTATCTAAATAGTGTAGTAGTATAACCGCAGGGCCTACTGTACTGATGCACGATCAATGAAAATTTCATTTTATAAAATGCAGACATACCCTAAAATTGCAGATATTAAATGTAGGCAGTTACGTTTCACAAGATACTACACGAAGAATGAAATTGAGAATGTAATGTACTGTATCCCGTGAGGACGGTAAGACGAAGAGGTGATACTTTTATACCTTATTTCTTATTTCTTATTTCTTATTTCTTATTTCTTTTTGTAAGTTTGTACTTCTATTTATGGTACAGAAAACTAAACTACCGTATAAACCGAAACAGCTTTCTTCATTTAATGCTTGGCCTACTAAATTTTTAAATTTATACGAAGTCATTAAATTTTTTGAAAAAAAAAAGAGTGTAAACAGAGCCTGAGGGATCCTTAATAAAAAAAACAAAAAACACCAGGGTTATAGGCCGGGGAGAGTACAGCAAGGGGACTGGTCAGAAACTTATTTTTGTAATTAACTTGAACATTTTCAAGACTTCAAACAAACATGAAAAAGCCTGACAAGTGGTTGCCAAAATATTGAAATAATTGAATATTTTAATCACTAATTTGCTTATTTAAGATAGTTTGATATACAGGGCATGTCACAGACATGCGATTTCTGGTTCATTTACTCTTCATATCGCTTTAATATATAAAGAAAAATGAAACATCTTTTTTGCCAACTTTTAAGAATATTAGGCCTAACCTTTTCCTTTGTGTACTTCCTTGCTTTTACCTCGCCTGTAAAATGCGACCTACCTTAACTTGCCATCAGCCGCTCGTATCCACCGGTTTAGAGGAAACTGAAATAGATCTTCATCTCCCTTAACAACGGACACCCACTCGGCAAACCAATCATCTTTGACTCGGTCTTTACCCTTATTACAGATATCTATGGCAGCCACGTCGCCAAAGTCACTGCTTATACCTTTGACGTTGAAGATATCTGTCTGTCCACGCTCCAAATCCTGTCTCTTATACACATCTAGATGTGTATAAGAGACAGCTCCTATGTCTTTAACTATAATTTTAAAAA